CAAATTTAAGCCGCTTAAACACTTTAAATTGTTGAAAAATCGTGTAGAATATTGTGAAATATTCTTGAAAATGTGTAGATGAAAAGATGTATTTTTTCATATGGAAGATCATGACTTTTGGTATGATTACTCTCTAATAATTATGAATCTTAATTTCAAGAGTGTTTCTCTTGGTATGGTTGTCTTTTGATAAACTTTTCCAACTACTATATATATATATCATCATGTGTTTGGATTGAGTACAATTCAAAGTGATAGTTTCATATCATTCCATTCCATGCTTACACTTTAGTTTGCATAAAACATTTGAATAATGCTATTTATCCCCACTGAGGATGAAAACTGGTGTCAATGTGGAATTAAATGATATGTGAAATTAAATAAGTAATTTAATTTCACATTTCATTTAACCTATCATTTAAAACCACATAAATTGTCTTTTCATTCCCACTGGGGATGAATAACATTATTCAAAATATTAGCATCAAAATCATGGTTATGATAGAGAGAGAATTCCGTTCGAGCTCATTGGTCTAAGCCATTTGGAGTGCTTCTATGGCTTGACGTGGTTGTTGTATCTTGGGAGATGATTGCTAGAAACCGTTAGCACCGATGCAGGAAAAATTCATCTTAAGGACAAAATGTCAAACACTTGCCTCGACCGATCACATTACTTGCATCCCATCTTTCTTTTTCCGATTTCATTCTAATTTAGTATTTTGATTTCGGAAAGTAACTATATTTTTTTGATTTCAGAATATGGTTAATTTATTTATGTGTTTTTATTGCAAAGTTTGAATTAAAGAATAACACGCGTTCAAGATTAGAAAGTGATGGATCCATACTCGAAGTCGATAATTCACTAATTTGTCTTCTCAAGTCAGATTTCGATAAGTCGAATGATATTTCGATTTGACGCATATTAACGATATGTTCTTGATGAATATAATATGCACATTATCAGTGTAAAATCTCCTACATTTACTAATATTCCTAATTTATCAAATGATAAATGGAGATCGGTAGAAGTCAATAATATTTTTTACTCTCGTTATCATCAAGAGAAAATCTCATAATGAAAAAGATCTTGAGGTACATCAAAGGAGTGGATTACAAAAGTTGATAATTGGAATGTTTATAAAAGTCAATTCACTTTTATAACTTTCAGTTTATTTAAAATTTTGAATAACCCCACCGCTAAAATTTAATAATAACTCCAAATGTATGCTACATAATATTATTTATTCAAACCATGAGGGTTTGTCAAGAACATAAATCTCCACCGAAAGAGTGGACCCCGCCAAATGTTACTGGGTCGAGGCCCTTAGAATTGATCACGCACTCAGATGGAGTAACTTTGTAATGTGAAACTGTCGTAGCAATACGACCATTGCTTGTGCTTCTTACGTAAACTATCCATTGTCATTCACTGTTCACGACGTTGGAGCAGCTTCACGCTTGAACTGATCAAGAGGATCAACCATGGAGACCAATTCGGAAAACTCGGCTATGTAAGGGGCGTGTTATTAACTCGGTAACGGGCTCCATTCGTGGCCCAGCCGGAGCCATCCCATATTGTTGCATAGAGAGACAGTGGTTAAGAGGGAAAGTTCCCACCCATTGCTTCTGTCCATATGATCTCTCTTATGTGGACACTATCCACATAAAAGCTGCAACAAAGCATATGAACCAAAAAACCAAAAACAAAGAATCATAGTTCGGATTATAAAATAGAGTAATACTATTGATCATTATGATGATGATATATCGGTAATGTGACAATTTAAATAAAATAATGGGACATGAGAATTCAATTTTTATGAGAGAGAGAGGGAGATTG